AAATTTGGTAAGGATGTACTAGACTTGATGAATAACATGGTCAAAACATTTCATCAAAAAATTCCACCGGGAAGGCCCTCAAAACGAGGAGGCCGCACGGAGGCTCCGGTAAGGTATACCTTACCGGAAGAGTTCCCTGTATATGTGTGTGTGTGTGTGTGTGTATATATATATATATATATATATATATATATATAAAGTCTAGTTTGAGCATGTTCCTCATCAAATCTAGTTTATTCATACCAAATTTCAGCTAAACATTCAATCGAGAAGAAAGTCAAAAAATTCCCTACGAAAAATATGTTATATATATATATATATATATATATATATATATATATATATATATATATATATATATATATATATAACATCGCAGTTTTCCTAGGGAATTTTTTTGACTGCATTCCTGATTGAATTTTTAGCTAGGAAAATTGCGATGTTTATATATATATATATATATATATATATAACACATTTTTCGTAGGGAATATTTTGAAAGAAAACTGCATTTTATATGTATATTCCGGACCAGTTCCTTTCAAAAATCATTTGAAGACCTTCCCGATTGAATTTTTTGCTCAAATTTGGTATAGATGAACTAGATTTGATGAGGAACATACACAAAATATTTCAGCCAAAAATACCACCGGTTGTCGGGGTTCTCACGAGTTCTCGTTTTAAGAGGGGTTCTCATTAGAACCCTCTATATATATATATAGACTTAGGATCAAATACAAACTCAACCTAATTTACAAAATGCAAATTAATCCTAGCCATTCATATGAGTGAGATGACCGTGTATTAATGGGTAAACCTCCCTCACTAACCATATGTAGTTGCTACAAAATAGGAAAGCTTTCCTTGATTTCCCACAATTTGTGCTAACGGGTGAAAATAACCACCCAAACAATTAGTGCCGTTGATTTTGTAATTTTGGACGGATGAGATGAATTTGTATTTTGTATGGGAAGCATAATTTGTATCCGATCTCATCCCTATATACCCTATATATATATATATGTATGTATGTATGTATGTATGTATGTATGTATGTATGTATGTATGTATGTATGTATGTATGTATGTATGTATGTATGTATGTATGTATGTATGTATGTATGTATGTATGTATGTATGTATGTATGTATGTATGTATGTATGTATGTATGTATGTATGTATGTATGTATGTATGTATGTATGTATGTATGTATGCAATGTATGTATGTATGCATGCATGCTTAAAGATAATATTTTGTGCTTGAATATTCAATATTCGGTATTAGTTATCATTTTTCATGGTTATTTTTGTATAAACATTTTTTGTATGTGGTTTAAGACATATTAACGTTACAAACAATTTGTAAAAGAGAATAATCTATTTTACAAGTGTTACAAGTGTTCTAAATTGTTCGATAATATTGAAAAATTTAAGACTTTCGGGGCCGAGCTCAATGGACTACCTAGTTGATTCTTACGGGCAGGAATGGACACATGATCAGGCCCAATTGTTGTGGGCCATGTCAGGCCTACCCACACTAATGGGCAAAAATTAGAAAAAATTCAGCCCGAACCCATTTTCGTACAAATCTAGGTCGAATTAGACAACAAATGTTTTGTATAATAGAATGTTCCAAAATTGTAGAGTCAATTTGTTATATCTTTCCATAAGAGGCACATATCCATTATGTATTTCATTGACATTTTGTTTTATATAATTACGTACATCTTGTTTCATACGTGATACGTAGTACTTTATAATCAATTATTATAGTTTATTAGTTTGGGAAAATGTTCCGCCACCGTATTGCAAATTTGCAATTGCTAGTTCGTTAAGCATTATTTTAACGGATCATAGATATTGCTAGGGTTCAATTATATTTATTAGAAGGGTTTATTTCTGAAATAAGAATAAAAGCGTTTTGGAACTCCAAAACAGATGTAAATAATGTCAAAACGAGGCATAAATAATGCCAAAATGAGGTTGTAAGTCCAAATATATTGCAATTACTGTGTTTTTATTCCTAAATAAATACAAGTAAATACTCTCAAGTTTGAAAAACATTGTCAAGTTTAAAGTCTAATAATGTCAAAAATGTGATCCTAACTACTCCTATTTAAAAAATAAAATAATAATGCTCATATTTGTTAGAATTTGCATACGTTTTTACTTTTTATTATTCAATTTCATTTAATGGAATGAATAGCATCGTATAGGGAGGGCTATGGGCGTTCCTTCTACGGGGAATGTCAATCGTTGGCTTGGGTTGGCGGTTGAAATGCCCTTAATTAGTCTCCCATTTTTTCCAATTTAAATGATTTCATTCTGGGCATTTAACTCATTTCCTCAACACACATGCAGGAGCAGAACTATTTTTGAGGTAAAAAATTATATTGTATCCATGTCAAAAAGTCCAAGCTCAGTAAGCTTTTCAATGTTATCACTTATTAAGTCGGCTATGTGCTTGGTTGCATATTTTTAGGATATCTTTTCTTATTGTCTTTTCTTATATATCTTGGGTGAGTTTGTATATATGCAGGGTGTGGATAATGGATTAATGGGAGTAGTAATATTTAAATAGTTTTTAGGAAATCTTTAAATAGGCCAGGCAAGTATATTTCTGAGAACATAGCAGTTATGTTTGGAGTTTGGTCAGAATGGGAGGGAAGGCTTTGGATATTAGTCCTAGGAGGGGAAGGGGATGTGAAGGGGGATGAAATCCTTCTTTTTGTTTGGGAGTTAAAATTTGAAAAGAAGTGATAAGGATGAATTATAATTAAAATCACCTCAAAGATATGACGTATTTAAATAGTGAAACTCATACTCCATATTCTCTTTAATTTAAGCTAAAGTGATTAGTTATCATTTAAAATCTCCAATTTTAAGGAACTTAAAAATTGAGCATCTGAAGGGCTTTCAAGGATCAAAATTCACAAGAAGTCAAGAACCCTTCAAAACCACTCTTTCTATTTTTTAAAAAAAATTCCTAATCAAGAAATGAGAGGTTATCAGCCCTCCTAATCATGTACCTCCATTTCAAAATATAACTCTCAAACATATACCATAGTTAACCAAGCGAGTCTTGGAGAGTAGGAGAACTAGAGAAATATAATGGAGTAAAAAAATCTATGAATCATAGGGATTTTGAAAAGTGTTAGCAATTTATTTATATTAAAAGGTTAACATAATACTTCCTAGTTCCTATAAAAGATGAACCGTGGCTGGTTGTGGGAATGCGTTCAAAACTTGATCACATGGCGTCCAGGTTTGGGGTTAAAAACTCTGCATCAGACTTGGCAGAATGGGAATTCATTGATAAGGAGTAGCAGCTTCTAAATCTGATTACTTATCACTATAAATGCATAATCGTTTGAAAATGTTATAGAACATAATGAAAAAGTGATAATGAACCCAGGTATTAAGATTCACAACGTATCTTAAGTTGCGTGAGCTAAACTTTTATATGACACTTGTGTTGAACTTTGGAGTGTAATGTACTAGATAGACATTAAGGTTTTGTTTGGTAAACATCTTGACAATTAGTCACTTATAATTCCTAATTGATAAAATAGTTGATTTGTGTCCTTGGAGTGTAAGTGGAGCTCGTGAACATGACCTAAAATTTTACCAAGGCTCCATTTTTTATTAATCAAGCCCATATGACCAACATGTTAAACAATATTCTATTAAAATTTGGTACTGGTATTAGAATAAATATACTCGTGGGATATGAAAAACTACCTAACCAAGCTTTTAAAAATGATCCAACTTATCAAATAAGTTAGTCAACCAAACATTACGGATTTGAAAAGCTGAAAAAGTGTGAATAATGGAGTCCTAAATTAAGCATTTAACTAAACACGGGGTCTTTTCCTCCAAAAATGATATAGTTACAGGTGGGTCGGGGCGTAGGTATGGGTACCGAGTAAGTTTATGATTCGAATCCTGACAACTAAAATGAGAAATTACTATGTAACAATGCATAAGACTTCAGTAAGTACCTGAGTTCCACTCTCTATCTATTAACTTATTATTAGGGTCCAATATATATTCTTTCAATTAATTGTCTGATCGGTGTTTGGGGCCCTCGGGATTGGAGTGTCATCATTTTTTTAATGAATAGTTACCATATTACTCCCCTCGTCTCCTTTTAAATGTTTCGTTTTATCATATTGGGATGTCCCTATTTAATTGTCTCATACCTTATTGAGTAAAGTTTGTGTGGCTCAAAATTATACTTACTTTATTCTTACTTTACCAATTAATATCAACCACACAAACCCGTTTTTCTTAAAACTTGTGGCACCCTCTTCGGTCCCAATATAAAAGGGAGGGAGGTAGTATTTACAAGTAGTTATCCATTCTTTCGGAGCAAAGTAAAAGTTGAGAGAAATTTTAGCGTAATTTGAATGCAACAATGTGCACACAGGGTGTATACAGTTTCAGCCTCGGGACCGGCCTGAACCGAAACTGGCCGTTTTTTTATTCGGAACAAGAGCTAATAAGTCCAAATTACATTCATTGCGGTCCCAATCCTAGGTGACCCAATCCTATGTTTTCTTTTGAACTGAAATTTGCTGGTCTGGTCTGGTCTGGTCTGGTGTGATATGGTCTAGTTTTGTCTGAACTGGTCTAGTCTGGTAAACGTCTGGTCTCTGTGTATTTTATAAATTATAACTACGGAAGTCTGGTCTGATCTGATTTGGTCTGGAATTGAAAACAGTACAAAAGAAAACATCCATAGTCTTTTAATATGAAATATTTATAAAAAAACATTGACCTTTAATTTCTTTCCAGAAATACTTTATGAAATTTCGTTCCTGGAATCCATAGTCTAAATAAGGCATGTATGGTATATAACCATTAATTCCCAATCCATTTCTGAAAAAAATTAATAATCGCCAACATTAATGCTAGAAAGTAGGTAGGTCCACATAACAACTTCAGAAGATTTGCAAGCCGGATCTCTCAAACTATAAGAAGGCCACATATGATCTGGAAAATCATTGTGTCCAGTCATACAAATAAGCAAAACAGAGTGAAAAATATGGTGACGAATCAAGACAAAATATGGGTCGTCCTGGCGGCATTATCACTGGCGATATCCGCTACGGATTTAACATCCGCAGCGAAATTCCCGGTCGTCGATTTGGTCAATCAATACGACCAAAATAATGTGAGTTTGTTATGCAAGGCTTTTGAACAAACCATACTGCCAGGCCAGAGATTTTCATTTGAAGCCCAGGAGAAAAATGACCCTAATGCCTATGGTTGCACCTGCTATAACAGTAACCCAGACATTCTGGAGATCAGTGCATATGATCTTAAAAGAGACAAAGAGTATCAACTCATCCATTGGAAGTTTAATAGCGTTGGAGCATATCGTAGTTATGATAATATTCACTGGAAATTGGATGCAGAGTGGAAATCTGATTAATTAATTGTTTTTATCTTCACTTTTTGTTGTTGTTGTTTGTGATATCAACATTAGTAATCGGATTCTTCGTCATTATCTTTAAGCTGGTGGAATATAGATAGTATATACGGAATGTTTCGATACCAGATAAACAAAATAATTAGATATATATGACTAAAATAAACATTGATTACAAAAATGTGATTAGTGATTAGAGTAGTTGTTGAGTTTAATCCAACACGATATAGTAAATATATGTATAAATGTGTATGAACAAGCTCAGTTTTTACGTGGAAACCCGAAAGGTAGAAAACTACGAGACTTTTTAGGCTAATGTCCAAACTCTCTCTTTCTCATTAGGACTCTCCTCAGTCCTCACATTTACATTGTACAAGCTCGCATTAATGGAGTATTTGAGCTAAGTCTAAAAGGAGGAAGGAGAACTAAAAGGGGATCCTTTTACATGGAGGGGAACCTCCTATTTATAGGGAATAGGGGGGAAGGGGACTCTCCACCCTAACGGGCCGGATGGGCTGAAATGGGCCCAAAGACCGAAACAGGCCTGATAGGCTAAAAATGGGCATTACTGATTAGGCTCTGTACTACGTAAAATCTTGAGCTCCTGAACAATAATAGTCCGGGATAATATATCCCAACAGTAGTAATGAAATTATAGTAATTTTTCTTCAATTTTTAAACTTAAATTAGCATGACACTACATTGTACTAACTATTAATCATATTTAGTAAATAAGTTTTATTTTAGTAATATTTTTGAAAAAAATCCATAAAAACAAACTCTTACTTTTCACCTAGGAATCACTTTTTATTTGATCCATACTACACACATAGAGTAAGGTTTCGGTGAGAATGGTAGCTTAGGAGAGATAAGAACAAATCTCATCCATCTAAAATCAGATTCCTACAGTATAGATTTAGTTTTTAACGGTGGCAAAAAAGAAATTAGGCAGAACTTTGGACAACTAACAGCTCTAACTTAACGTTAACGTAACTAAAAAAAAATTAAACAATGTTTAATTAATTACTATTAATAGCCCAAACACTATCCACAGCGGTGATATGAATTCTCAAAACAGTGTGATGCAATACTTTATCCCTTTGTATATTTCAATTGTGCTAATAGTTTAATTGCATTATGAAATATTTATTCCAAAGTATGCAAATATATTATTAATCTTGTAGTGTACTCGTATAGAAAAATAATGTATTTTTGAGTACCATGAATATATTATTGTGCATTTATATATTCTCATTAATTGTATCATTATACATGCACTAGTATTGAAAGAATCTCCACTTTTATCATTAACTTGCATACACTTAAAGTAAAGAAGATTTTAAAAATATTATTGTGTACATTTATCATCATTTGTATTTGCACATATGATCTTAATCAAAGCATTTGCACATTAGGGTGCGGTTCCAGCGAGAATACTCCTTAACGTGAGAAATGAGAACGTTCTAAAACGTTGCACTTTAATTATCATGCACTTATATGCACATTTATTGTTAAAGCAATGCAAGATTCAAATGTGCACATTTACGTTTAAACTTTTGCACAATTGAAATACACATTTTCTAATTTTTTATAAGCACATTTTTGTTTTGCATGATGCACGACACCCAAATCCAACGCTCCAGAATTACTCATTTCTCTCCTAAGATGATTTTCTCATATGATCCTTATTTTGGATGTTATATATTAACAATTACTCCCTCCGTCCCCGAAAGAAGTTCCAACTTTCCTTATTTGGATGTCCCTAATTTAAGTTCTCATTTCCTAAAATGGAAAATTATGTACATCAAAACAGTGTCAAACAATGCAAACCAGTGTCAAACAATGCAAAACAGTGTCAAACAGTGACAAACAGTTTCAAACCAGTAAAATTTACCCCCTGGTAAGTTTACTTGTATAAAAGTGTGTGAAAGTCAAGTGGGGAATTTCTTTCGGGGACGGAGGGAGTATGTACTAATATATTTTCTTCTTTAGATATGAGAACATGAAAAGCTTTTGCTCTTGGGCAACTTTATTGTTCAAGTGGTGCATTCATATTGCAAAACTTATGCACTTTTATTACATATCAATGTGTAATTACATATTTATAAATATATAACACTTTTAGAAATGATTTGTGCACTGTTGTTTTATGCACTATCTATTTTAAATAAACTGTAACTCACTTTAGTTTATGCTATTACTACTTTTAACGATATATTAATTATGTGATTTTGATAACGTCATCAAAGACATCTCATCCTCTAGAATCATAATATATTTTATTCTTCATATATATACGATAAAAATGAATATTGAACTTTATTGATTAAAAGTGCACTCTAAAACGTATGCCCTTTTCTCACTAACATTATGAATATGCAATTACGTATAAGTATATCACACTTGTAGAATTATTATTTGTGAGTTTTTATTGTTTTGTATGCACATTTATTTTTAATCAAATTGTTGCACATTTTACTATTAATAATTTAACAATATTATGTGATTTTAATATATTTATAAAAACAGCCCGTTTCGAGATGAGTCATAATGTATTTTTTGTCAAATGAAAATGAATATGCAAGTTTATCATTCTAATAGCGCAATTAAATTGCAAAATTATGCACTTTTATCTTTAACTATAGTTGTGTGCACTTACACGTACTCAAAACTAAATATGCACTTTTGGTAACATTAATGTGCACTTATATACAAGTGTGCAAACTTGTGTACACTTATTCTTAACTAAAATATTGTGCACTCTATGCTTTAATTTTTCTGAGTATATTGTGTGATTTGGTTTCCTTACAACTAAAAGTGCACACCAAATATATTGTGTGATGGCATCACTACTGATCTCTCAAAGAGAGAGTCGTAGGTTCGAGTCTCATCCTAATCAAGATGTTGGCATTAACAAGAGCATATACTATAATAGTTTTAAAAGAATATTCCAAAAAAATAAAATTTAAAGAAACATTGGAATATATAACCCAAATAAAAATAGTGAATAAAAATGTGAGTTTTTATTAAAAAACAATAAAAATTTATGGAAGATATTGAAACATACAGCGGAAGTTTTGACCTCAAGAGTGTGTCACTTTATAGTAACAAAGGCTATGACCCTTTTAGTTGTGAGGAGATGGATGAAACAAGGTTCAAATGTGTTTGCCAGAATCAGATGACTCAAGGAGCTAGCTGCCAAACCTGAAGTAGCTAACTGGCAAAACCTTTAGGAGCAGGCTGCCGAAATGAGTTGATGCTTCAAAGGTTAAGGTATAACAATGAACTATACTCTAACACAATGATAGGCTTCAGAACTCGTCTTAACACATAAGTATGAAAGATTTAGCCCTATAAAAATAGACCACTTTGATGAACAAAAACAAGGAGTTGATCCACAGTGAACTTTCCAAAATATGGATCATATGAGAACTAGATGAACCGTGGCTGGTTGTGGCCTGTGGGAATGCGTTCAAAACTGGATCACATGGTGTCCAGGTTTAGGGTTAAGAACTCTGCATCATACTTGGCAAAATGGAAATTCATTGATAAGCAGTAGCAGCTTCTCAATATGATTACTTATCATTATAAATGCATTATCGTTTGAAAATGTTATAGAGCATAATTAAAAAGTGATAATGAATCCAGTTATTAAGATTAACAACGTATCTTAGGTTGCCTGAACTAAACTTTTATATGACACTTGTGTTGGACTTTGGAGTGTAATGTACTAGATAGACATTAAGGTTTTGTTTGGTAAACAGCTTGACAATTATTCACTTATAATAATTCCTAATTGATAAAATAGTTGATTTGTGCCCTTGGAGTGTGTAAAGTGGAGCTCGTGAACATGACCTAAAATTTTACCAAGGCTCCCTTTTTTATTAATCAACCCTAAAAATTAAATATAAAAAACTCAAGCAGAAATAATTTTTGGGATTAGGTCATCAATATTACTAATTCAAAAGGTTTAGACAAATGTAAGACCTCATTTGAATAGTTCCAAAAAAGAGACCAACAGTGTGATCATTTGGGATCAAATATCAAATTTGCCCTCCCTAATTAATCATCCGTACGCAACAATGCAATAACCAAATACCAAGTACTGCTAGTATTACGTATGAACTCCGGATAATTCTTCGAAAATGCCCAGGAGAAAAAAAAATGACTTTTATAAATCCTACCCATTTACATTTATTTGGTATTAGATTTATAATTATTGAACTTGATCAATGATAATTACACGTTCAATCAGTTATAATTACACTTTTTACCAGTTACAATTTTTCGTTCGTCCAGTTACGATTATTCGCTCGACTAATTAGAGCTACCCGACCCGTCGTGCAGTTACAATTACCCAATCTGTCGTGCAGTTACAGTTATCAAACTCGTCCAGTTATAGTTACCCGACACATTTAGTTACAGTTACCCGATCCATTGTCCAGTTACAGTTACCCGATCCGTTGTCCAGTTACAGTTCCCCGATCCGTTTTCCAGTGATCAATTAACACTTTGACTTTTGTCCAGTGACCAATTGACATAGTGACTCCCGACCAATTGACATAGTGACTCCCGACCAATTGACCTAATTCTCAACAGCGACCGCCGTCGTGCACCACTACTAGCCACGGTGCCCCCACCGCTGTCGATCGCCGGCGCAGCCCCGCCACGGACCAATAGTGACCAACAGCCACGAACAGCCACCCCCGTCCAGTTACTAAGTGACGGTGACCGATTACAAGTGCTCACCACCAACTGATACTGACCAGCACTACCCCGCCTCCACCGCCCCAACAATTACCACCCGCCTTTCCTCCACCATCATCCACGGTGCACAACGCATCCCTACCCTCACACCCCCACCATTCCAGCATAGTCCCCATCCCCCTACTTGGCCCAAGCCCACTCCCCAGACTACCTTGCACCTACCACCAGCCTCCACCACGATCCTAACAACTCCACCACCGCACAAGAATGCTTATACCCCTAACCACCGCACCAGAACCACCATAAATCATCTCCACCACCGCCACTACACCACCTTAGTTGCCACCGGATCTATAGGCCAGTACACATCATCTAAGTTGTCGCTGGATCTGCCAGAACTCATTGCCTATCGTCATCCTCGTCGCTCAGTTAGAGACTTGGAGATGTAGAAAAGAAATAGAAGAAGAAGAAGAATGGAGCGCCGACCGAGCAAGGGGCGAGAACACACAAACGATGATAGAGAATGAAAAGGAGCGGCGAAGATCGATGAGGTGACTGAGCTGGCGGCGATGAATGCGGTAACTG